ATCCCAATCTCGCCAGTTCTCATCGGCCTGATCCTGTACCGCTCCACCCTCCTGTTCCGGCTCCCCGTCATGGCCGTGCCCATCCAAATCCACTTCGTCCATCCTGTCGTCACCTGCCTAAAAATAATTGCACCGTAGTAAAAGTCTTTCAGAAAAAAATACTAAGTCTGACGGTCACTTCCGTACTACACAGGCTGCTGCATTTCGAAAATTTACGAACCAAAGCATCTCTGTTTTCATCGCCGCCATTTTCAGGATTGTTCGCATCGGCAGCACCATCCTCAATATTCAGCCACTCCCGTGGGCCGCCATGGATTATTTGCTCTCGTAGCCATACAAGTGAAATAAACGCACACAGAAAAATTGAAACAATAAAGCAACCCTGAAAAAATTTTGCGAACCATGAAAAAAAGCAAATGCAAAATCCGACAAAAAAGTTAAGTATTACATTCTAAGTGAAATTTTACCAGTTTAAAAATTAGGTTAACCGCTTCTCTATCCAACTCATTTACTACAAAAGGCGGAGGTAAGTGCCAACAGCATTCTTCGACTAACGATGCTGGTCCCTCTCTTTCAAAAGCTATTTTGTTAGCGAGGTGATCAACAGACCATCGAAACGAATGAACGAATCGCAATGAGATTTATTTCACTGAACGAGCCGAATCCACGACTTTCAGTGTGTGAAAAGCGTTATTTGTCGCGGCGCTATGTGCGAAAATATTTTGAAAATTAAGAAACAGAATCGTCTTTTTGTGTAACTGTAACTCACTTTAATACAATCGCCAAGAAGATTATCGAGCACAAACAGCTGAAAAGGCAATGACAGAATGTTGGAAAAGGAAGCGGAGAAGACCATTCGATAGATGCGACATGCCGTCACCGGCACAACGCCTAACCAAGCGATCAAAACAAGCGTGTAAATTGCCCAGGAACGCAAAATGCGGCCCATATTGAGTACAATTCCTGAAAAACACATCATTCCAAAAAACCCCGCTTCATATTGATCATTCGGGCGAATTTTAGAGGCAAAAATTTGGAATTTTTTTTATTTTACTCTGTTCACAGTACTATAAAAACAACATTTAACTGTCCCGTGTTTTTATTCATTCCTCATTTATTCAATAAATAAAAATCATTCGGCTTTATTTTTATAAAAACTTTAATTACTCACGCACCAACACAGCGAAAAAAGGGAAAGAAAAAAGAAACCTCGAATGATTTCGGAGAGTGGCAAAGTTGGAGGCATATCTGAGCGATAAATTGGTTGAAACGAATACTTATGGCTACACAGTTCGCAAACTTCCTTTTTGCTGTACTTGAGCCATTCCATGAGACAATCCTGATGTACATATTTGATGCTTCCCGTACAGAGGCATGGATAATACAGCGCACTATCACCAGCGCTTCTGCATACCCGGCAAATATCTGCAACAGAGATTATCAATGAAACTCCAGGACAGCACCGGACAGAATTGGAGCAGACAGACAGACAGATCCACACACACCCATTCAACACAAAACAAACAACGAAAAGATTTTTCATGCGAAATTAGGAGTAGAACACACACACGCACACACACACGCACGCACACACAGACACACACACTCAGTCACTGGAAACATGCGAAAGAACACATGCCATCGGAACTACTAACAGACACACGGACAGATATTACTACAGGACCGAACCTGACCAATTACCTGGAACACCTGAAACACGTGCTAATAAAACACAGTCTGGTTCTCCAAATTATGCAACTTACCAGTGCTACTGCACCGTCTGATGCTCAGTCTGTCTGCGATTGTTTCGTCTCCTAAAGGGTTTATCAGCTCAAATGTTCTTTCGATAGAAACAATTATTAAGACTTAACAGGTTTCGAGATATTCCTGGTGTGAATCAAAGATAAACATCCTAAATGCTGCGCCTTTTAGATAAAAATGAAGCACCATTACCGTCTTACTAACCCAAGGAGGGTGTGTTGCAAAAGGAACAAGGTGTTAACAGCAAGGAAATGAAGCTGCCGGCTAAGCCGCTTCGTCTTGTTCAGTTGTCCTTTGATTCCATGTGACATGCAAATGTCTTGTCTCCTGGCTCGAGTTCCCCCCTCCTCCATGATATGTAATGATGTGATTAGAAATGAAATGGTGACTGTTCTTCTGTGCCAAATAATTGTGCACTGGCAGCTTGGAGCTGCTGCCACCCCAAATAATTGTACAGTGGGAGCTTGGAACTGCTGCCAGATTTCCCACGCTTACCGGTCTGTTTTGTTGTGTGAGTCTTTTTTTTTTTAAAATAAAGCATTGTTTATTGGTTTGGGCAAGTGCCCTGGCAGCCCCACAGAAGCACCCCATATAACCGCGCAGGCCCTTGATCCGTCATCAGCGCGTTACAGATGGTCAGTTGGGCATTTATTTGGCACAGAAGAACAATCACCATTTCATTTCTAATCACATCATTACATATCATAGAGAGGGGAACTCGAACCAAAGAACGGGAGATTCGCATTCACATGAAATCAAAAGGCAACTGAACAAGACGAAGGGTTTAGCCGGCAGTTGGGCAATATAACTGTCCACTCTCTTACAGTCCAATAAATGTTCCAGTGGTCAGTAAGACCATGCGCAAAACGGAGGCCAACTTTTCAAACGGTTCAGAAGGAAGTAAAGCGTACATATGATGTATATGAGTGGTGACGGGTAGCCTAAGATATGAAAAATCAATTTTACTTTTGGCGCGTGATGAAGAGCTATTGCATGACTTTTTTTTACCGTGTTTTTTAGATTTCACCAAAAACTACGGGTTTTTCGCTCCGCCAAAAGTTTGTAGACAAAACAAGGTAGAAAAAAAAAATTTTTTTTTTACCTGTGGTTTCACCATCATCGGCAACTTCTGAGGTACCACTGACAGCGACAGCATTGCCTGCAGCAGCAGTAGCAGCTCGACTGTTTGAGGAACCCGAGCCACTGGGACGATCTGCTGGCGGTACACCAGCAGTGCCCCCCCAATCGTCGATCCCATCCATCCTGCGTAACCAGTGATATGTGATCAATCAGTCAACCCAACGTGTGTGTGCAGAACTGAAACAACACATTTCACACATCAACGAACAGATTTTCGACGATTTCTCATCCGGAAGCTGCTGCTGGGGAAAAAAAATGCGCGGGAAACAAAACAGGACGCTGCTGGTTATTATTTGTCTGGTAAGAGAACAATTATAAACAAATATACCAAGGGAAAATATTTGCTAATAATTGAAGTGTAATGGAAATATTGGAGATTGAAACCTATAGAATACATGAAAAATGAATAATTTTGGAGGAATCAGAAATTAAAGTGTTTTGGTCTATTAAGCCCTAAATCATAATTTAATTTAGATCACTTCAGTATTACCAAGGTTAATAAAAATTATTAATGTTACTATTATTATTACTATTATTATTGTTATTACTACTGCTCTCACGTACAAACAAAAGTTGTTCAATTATTATATATACTTTATTTTGTAATAAATTATTATCACTGTTATCATCATTGTTATTATTGTTATTATTATCACTATTATTACCGTTATTATTATTGTTATTATTATTATCATTGCCATTATTATTATTATTGTTATTATAATTATCACGTGTAAACAAAGTTGGAGATTAATAAGACAAGAGCAAAACGTCATTGCAGAAGAATGGTGAAACTGGCAGGTGGCGCGCTATACTCAAATTAATGTCCGAGAGGGAGATTTGACCACTGGGACAACCAGACACTCGTTTCGATGGTAAATTGGTACTGGCTTATGACAGCCAGTCAAAGCCGTCATCAGCTTGCTTCTAAGCAACCCTCGAAAGAGAAAGCCATCGATAGTCCTGTCAGTGGGTGATTACCTCTGGCACGTGCGCTATCATTTCCAAACGCTAGCACTCTTCTAGGGAAATGATTTGCCTTCGGAACTCGTTCGTACGAACGAACTACTCATTCCTTTAGAAGTTCACTAGCACCATTAACATAGCATGAAATCTACGGCGGCCAAATCCTTTCCTGATTCCGATGCTGCTCACTCTCAAATCCCAATGTCGGAGATTATAACTCATGATATTGGTTGTAGGAAGGGCAGTATATAAGTTCGAGGATCCGACGTTCTGGTTCTGGTTTCACCTTCGCAGACACTGTACGTTAAGTTCGCTAGCACCATTAACACAGCATGAAATCTACGGCGGCCAAATCCTTCCCTGATTCCCATGGTGCTCACTCTCAAGTCCCAATGTCGGAGATTATAACTCATTATATTGGGATTTTTTTTATTATCCCTATTATGTATGTCCTTATGTATTCTTATTATATATCTTATTACGCTGATATTAAACGCTATGAGGTGTTTTTGCGTGTTTTGTGGTTCACTTCTTATGGATCAAGCGCCTGACATGTGTGTGTGTGTGTGTGCTAGCATATACGTGTCCTGCCTGGCGACTGAAGAAAATGTGAAATAAAATGTGAAAATACGACAGAAATCACTTGCTAGCAAGGCTACAGCGATACCCCCCTCCCCCCCCCTCCCCTTTCTGAAGATTATTTGTGGGAAAACTCTGATGGCCGGTCCCACTCCGCCCGACATGTGCCAGCACCAATTTACCATCGAAATGAATGAATGAAGCAAAAAAAGAAGGACACATCAGCGCATCAGGAACGAAGCCCCGCCAAACCAAGAATCACACGCAGACACAATGCAGCCAACCTGACAGCGTCGTCCTGAAATAATGACAAAATGAGGCAGCGCGGTCCGTGCTGGACATTTGCCAAATGCATGTTGTTGTGGTGGATCGTTGCAAGATAGGCGAGCGAGTCAGGCAACCACTGAAACTCGGCCGAGCTCGGCTACGCCACAAAATGCACTCGCTTTCACGTGTTTTGCACATTTGATTGGTGGGGTGGTGGTACTGGGTTTTCCATCGAGGTGGGATTGTATGGGGAGTAAGTGAGGGTATGCCGAAAAAAGTCAGAACGACCCAGAAACGATCAGCAGTGAGATCTCTCTAGCTCCCGGTGATGTATGTTAAAATTTTTCCGGGTAAGTTCATGGCTCGGGGATCTGAGATGCTAGAAAGCTGAAATCTTAAGGGGATGTTCCCCGTCCAAGTAGGTATTAATGAGCTCAAATCCAGCCCGTGGGTTGGCGCGGTTTAATTGGCGGAACACCAGTGTGTTTCGTCATCTGCTTTTTCGTCCACCGTTAAAGGCACTTTTGTGATATCTTAAAGTTTCAGCTTTCTAGCTTGTCTGGTTCCGAAAACAATAAGGAATGTTTACGATTTAATATCGTTGTAATAATTCTCAAGAACTATTACAACGGTATTAAATCGTAAAAACATTTATTGGATTTGTTGATGGGAGAACCGATGAGCTGGTACCCTTCCAGAAAACGGAACGAACGTCAGGATCGCCAGCTGGGTGACCACCACAGGCAATGCAACATTGGTTAGAGCAACTGGAAAAGTTGCCAGATGCATAACTGGGGTATGAAACAATAGAAATTCAGGGCAAGAGGGAAAAAAGGGGGGAACGATCTGAGTAGAAGTTTGAGGACAGATGGAAGAGAGTAGTAGGTGACTATTTGTAATTTCTAGCAGATCTTGATTTTCGAGCATTATTTGGATGAGGATAGAAAAAATGCGCGAGTGAGACCCTCAGACCCTTAAGAAGAACTACATATATAAGGAAAAAGCGAGGGCGAACAGATCTTCATGTTGAGCCGCTTCTAGGGGTTTTCAGAAACGTTTTGTTAACAGATAACTGTTTTTCAGGTATCACTGAGTGGAATTCTTTATTATGGGCAAGCAGGGCGATTCCTCGGAGCCATCCCCAAAAGATTTTGCTGCTGGAGAAGCATCACTACAACAGTTCGATAAAATTCACATCAAGGTAATTTTACTCAGTGACTTGATTAATCCTGAAACAGTCATTCTCTGCCGTGTTTCTTCAAATTTTACTAAGTTAGTTTTTTCTAGGCTTTTTTTTCCGGATTCTTCATATAATTGGCATAGTTTTTCATTCCGTTTCATCCTTGCACATCAAGCAAGTCGCATTTGTACGGATGTTATTGTTTTATTATTTGTCCAGCTGTTGTTGCGAATGTTGTTATCACTGTAAAAATATATGATTTTAATTATAAAATTATTTAGTATTTTCTTTCCATTTTTTAAGCGTATGATTCAGAAATGCAGTCGCATTCCTGCGTGTTTACAGTTTTCCCCATTTTTGTCCTTTTTTTTATTCTCACAAAAACTTTTCCTGTTTTCATTTATCTCTTCTCTTTCCTTCTTTTAACCTCCTTACCTCTATTTCTTTTTCCCTTATCATTCATTTTTATTACTCTTTTTCCTACTTTCCAAAATCCCTTCAAAACCGTACAACATCTTACGGAGAGGACCTTAAACCCCTTTATAAACCATCCATTCTTCATTCTTCTGATTGAAATCTTGGTTCATCTTCAATAAACAACAGATCGGCCACCCCTCCAACTTTTTGTCATCATATTCACTTTCTGCGGAACCCGTCGTCGACCACAATTGCGATCCTATCTCCTTCGCTATGAAGTCTATGGTTATTCAACATCTCGGGAATCGCTGCTAAATTCCTGCCATACGCTTGTTCAGTGCCTGAAATCCCCTGCCTCGGCAAGCCATCACATTCGTCGGATACCATGCATCACACACTGTATTATTTGTGCCATTTGCATGCTCCGTTTCAAGTAAGACAAACAAACTGTTTATGTTAACAAATAGAAGACTTCAGGCCCCACTTCTTCCAGTCCCTCAGCCAGAGATATCCATAGTTTGCATCTTAGAAATTTCCAAAACATTGAACGTATTTAGTGAGCCAATTTGCCCACTAGTCAATGCACCACGCCACACAACGATCCACCATACAAGTAATTACCTCCAACTCATAAAAATTTTTTCTTTATTATTGTTTTTTGACACTTTATCTAGCTCTTCGCTTTTCGTCTCGACACAGAGATAATTCAAAACATTCAAATCGATACATGCAAATGTGTCATTGGTACATTAGCACTGCCAACTTCTTCGTATAATCTGTTTCACTTTGTACCCATCCTTTTCGTCCCCTCATCCATTCTTCCGTACTACCACATTTTTTTAAATCTATTTTTAACATTATTCATTCCTCGCACTATTTAAAACACATGGCCAATGACGATTCGAGCTTTTTGAATTGGTTTGAGAGTGAAATCTTTACGTTTTGGGTTGTTTCAACATAAAAAGAGTACTTCCTTCACTGTAATTCGAAGCCTGCTTTCTCCAGTAATGTGCCTGGCAGATGCTTTGGTTATCTGTTGATCAACTATTGCATCTGTTTGTTAGCGACCCTGTCGTTCGTTTGTTTTGCTAAACGGATTACCAGCTAAACGTTTCTTTGGACGGAAACACTTTGTGTGTGTGTGTGTGTGTGTGTGTGTGTATATATGTGTGTACGTATATGTATATGTATGTGTGTGTATGGAGTATCATGAACTTATCTCTTAAACCACAACAAATTCCCCCCGCATTCGGACCTTACTGACTAAAAGATGCTTTAACTTTAAAGAGCATTTACCTTCAGACGCTTGCTTATCCGTGGAAGTACGTTGATGATCAGAAGCCAACAGAATTAGAATATGAATTATTTTGCGGTGCTCTGGAATCGTTTTGGTCAAAAGATCTTGTTGAGCTCGTGTAAGTTTTCAGTTGCATGTCAGGGAATCAGTATTGCTGTCATAGGATTTATTCCGACTTAAAGTCAGTAATCTGCCAGCTTTCTTCGTTGTATCATTGTTCTTAGAACTGTGAACTGCAGTGACGATTGGACCATTGCTCTGGAGACGGTTCTGCCAACGCTACGAAGTAGTATTCGAATGTACTGCGAATCTTGCGAAGGTTAAAAACTTGATTTTTTCTGGTACTATTTAACGATCTCATATTTTGTTTTTTTTTTTTGAAAATGGAAGAACCTCTGCTCGTGAAGGGGAGCGACGGGGCAGGGTGTAGGGAAAGGAAGGAGAGTGAGAGTAGGGGGAAGAATAAAAGGAAGGAGCAAGGGTGGCAACATGTAGTATTTGCATCCTGGATCAGTGAAAAGTACTCGGCCTATAACAGGAGGATTTGAATTAATTTTGCCAAAAATACTGTTGTTTTTTTTTTTTTTTTTGATACTCTAAAAGTTTCAATCCCTGTCTTTTTCTCGCTCTCTGTAGTAATCTCCGAATTTTTTTCCAAATTTTTTTCGTTGTAAAGTGAATTTGGTTATTATTACTTTGGCTAAGAGAAACTGTTTGCAGAAAAAGCGCCCGAATTGGATGTCGAATTAACGCGTTGGGTGAAATTCGGATTGAGCTCCAGTCAATCAGCGTTATATTCCGAGAACAGTCGTCTGGTTATGATCGGTTGCAGCCTCGTCAAACATCTTACACTCATGCATGACCGACAACTCAGCGCTGCTTTTTCTGTAGGTGAAATTCAAGCTTTTCTCATTTTTATATTTTATCATTTCAGTCAGAAAACTCAAAATTTTTCCCATGTTTCACATACATAGGGCGCGAAAATTGTGTTAGGACCCACAGCAGCGATTCACTCGAAAATCTTAATAGCCTAGAGGCAAATTTCACGATTTCTAGGAACCTTGCTATCTGCGGTATTTTATGGATATCATATTATCGGAGCAATATTGTGCTTCTGTTCGATGCGAAGCTGCGCAGGCACTCCTACACATTCTTTTTCATCCTTCCACATCCTTCGAATGCATGCTCGTCAAAATCGACGGATATACACCGTATGAACAAATCGTACGCCTCTTCCTGAAACCTGAGGTTTGCAGCGTTATTTTTGATTTTTACATGTCAGGAAAAAGGGCAGCTTACCTCCCTTTTTTCATGGCTTTCCCCTCATAACTCAAGGTGAGCCTCGGAACTCTTCATCTTTTCGTTCCTTATAATTTTCTTTATTACACAAAGCCTGTCGAAACTAGTGGCGCCAATCCGGCCTGACTAAACATTGCATGAAAATTCTTCGAGCATACAAATTCAACATGTGAAAATTGAGGCTTTGGGGTTTGATATTATCAGGCTTCTTAGTGGTACTAAGGACTTTGGACTTAGAAAATCCGGCAAACACGAGATATCCACTTTTTTTAAGTCATAAATTGTATAAAAACGCGTTATTTGATTTTGAAAGAGCACACACATTTTCCATTAAGCTTACTGTGCGGTAAATTGTGAGGCCGGTAATTGTTACTTGTTTTAATCTAATAGAAATTTTTACAGGATGTTCCACTGGATCTGTTAGCAATACTCAAAAAGATCACAGCTTATTTTGCTTTCAAATATAGCATTGTTACGATAAGAAAGGTTGCGCAAAAGTGTTTTGCCGAAGAATATGATTTTGATATTAGCCAGTTACAAAGCTCCCTCAACATCGTGCAAGATTTTACCAAAAAATTGAGGAACGACTTTGGTTATGCTTCTTGGATAGCACTGCAAACACTCGTGAAGAGGTATTCATCTAAAAAAAAATTTTTGCGATGATTACAGTTACTTATCTAACCACCGACATACTTTTTAGCGATCTTCGGAAGGGGGAGCTATTGACGACCTTGCCAGCGGATGATTGCTTTTAGCAGTTACTACCACTTTTAAGGGGATGCTTCCCATCCAAGTGGGTATAAATGTGCTCAAACTCAGGCACCGGGTATGCGTGGTATCCACGTACGGACCCGTGAATACCCGGTGTTTACACTTCTATCGGAGGCACAGCTTAGAATGGAACCATGGACATGTTAAACTTTGAAGGGAGATATTTTTCCGAGTGTCGAAAGAAAAGGAAGAAAAAAGAAAAATAACTAGAATTGCACTGCTAATGTTGGGAGTACTGATATATTCTGTGCGGATGAGGGAATATGAAAAATGCGTTAATTT